CATTCTTTTTTTAAACTAATATATTTGAGATCCAGAACTTACTGAGGACCTTAGTTAATAGTTAATCTGAAACTGGAGGCTTTATACTATCTATTCCTCTCGTAGTACTTTTTAAATTATTAATATTAATAAGAATTTTTGTAAAAAATTACAAGATTTTCCTCTTTTTAGCTCTCATTTACTTTTTGAAGTCTGGGTGATTATTTTAAACTCTTTGGTGATTATTAAAATATGAATGTTTGTTTGTTTATTTTTATGATATGGTTTAAAATTACAACAAAATTTTTTTGTGTAAAGTCACATGAAACATGAAGTTTTTACAACGGAAATGAATGCACAAGAGCCTATTAAAATTGTGTAGATCATTCTAGAATCGATTTCCAAATTCGGTAAAAACCCTGACTGCATTAATTAGATTTGTTAATCAACTTATATCGAATACCCCATTCACAAATGCTTTTTTTTTTGATGAATTCGAAATATTTAATTTTTTAAAAAATCGAAGTATGAAATAATTTAACTGTTTTTTAAGATACTCTTTTTAAAATATTTTATTTTTTAAAAATTCATACAAAGTATTAAATAATTTAAACGAATTCAAAAATATTACTGATTTCTAAGTATTAAAGTTTTTGTTAGCGTCTAAGTATCTGCAAGTTTTAAATATGAAATATGGTAATAATTTCACAAAAAAGACTTCGCGTCAGAGTATCTACAAGTTTTTAAATATGAAATATGGTAAGTTAACGATTTCACGGACACTTTTTGTTTTTATATATATTAAAAATATTTAATTAATAATTAAAAAGTAGATTAAAAAAAAACTACAAAAAATAATTGTGATTTATTTAAAAGGGAGAGAAAAATTTTAATACTATAATAATAATCTATTTGTTGCTTTAATTTATTCAGTTTTAATAATCAATCAGTTCCTCAAAGCAAAAATGATGAGAATATTATTAATAGTTTTTTATATACGTGAGTAATTGTGAATATAAATATATACATAAATAAAAAATAAATAAAAAGTCATGGTGTCTTCGCTTTCCCTTTAGCCTGCAGCATTTGGGATACCCCATCTATTTTATTTCATATTAATTAATCATCATGATATAAATAAATAAATAACCAATCTATAAAAAAAAAACTTTTACATTCTAATAGTATGATCATCTCCAGCTGAAGCAAACATGTAAGAATTTACTGGACTCCAATTGACACTGTTCACAGTTCCCTTATGACCTGGCAGTGCTTCTATTAATGTAGCATGTTCTCGATGCCAAACATATATTTTTGAGTCTGGTAAATGAAATTTGAACAAAAATTATGATCAATCTAAAATAAAAAATAACAATAATATCAAAAAATAATTAATATATACAAAACCTTCACTTCCACTAACAATAAATCCTTGATCTATTCCTCCAAAACAAGATCTGATAACAAATTTGCCTTGTTTTTGTCCATAATACTTTTTAACCAATCGTCTTTCTTCAATATCCCATAAGTGAATTTTCTTTCATTTTATTTTTTTGATATAAAAAAGTTTGGTTAGCAAGGAAATGAAATGAGTTATGTGTTATGAAGATAAAGATGAATTTGAAATATAAAAAGATATTTATTTTTACTTCAGTTGAGAGGTTAACTAATGCATATCTACAATCATTTGATAAACAAATAGAAGTAACATTGGCACTTTCATCCATGGTTCTAAATATAAATATTATTATTAGAGAAAATATATTTTTTCATAATATAAAATTTTTTTTTGCGTACGCTTCTTCTTTCTTTGAAATAAGGTCATATATGTGGATTTTCTTGTCATGACATATTGCAGCCATTCTTGTTCCATCTTTATTTATTACTAAATCCATTATTCTAACTCCACTCCATCCATACAAAACTGTTCCATCTAAATTCTACATATATATATTATTAATTAATTAAATATTATATTGCTATTGTTTTAAATTTTTTCTTTTTAATTAAATTACCCATAAATAAGTATTTTTATCTTGACTACCAGATATAAAACTTTTACCATCTGGTAGCCATGCACATGTGGTTACAGGATCAACATGTTTGTGCATTGTTTTAAGACATTTACCAGACTATTTAAAGAAGATTTATTTATTTAAATGTCATATTAATTAATAGAAATATAATAATAATAATAAATTCAATTAATTAATATATCTTTGAAAAATAATACATATATATATATATATATATATATAAATACCTCAACATTCCAAAGTTTTAATTTATTATCTTGTCCACAAGTTAATAAATTTGAATCATCTGGAGACCAAGATAAAAATGAAACACAGTCTGTATGTTCTCTTAGAGTATGAACAACATCCAAAGTCTATCAATGTTTTAAACAACAAAATAACGTAACATTTAATAATAAAGTTTTTTCAATAATACCTATACTAATTTATGATATATATAATTATTACCTCAAGACTCCATATGATAGCAGTTTTATCTCTTGACGCTGAAGCCAAAAATCTTCCATTGTTTGAAAATGCTACATACCAAACTTCATCAGTATGACGATTGAAAATATGAGTTGTAACTGAAGGAAATTGTGATCTAGATAAAATAAAAATAAAAATAAAAATAAAATAAAATAAAAGCTAATCAATTAAGGAAATAATAAATAAATAAATATTACTAGCCTATCACAAGCGTGGTCAGAATATAAAGATATATATTGATCTGTATTATGATAAAGACATGATATACGCTGCAGAGTTATAGATTGTTCTAGCAGTGTTTCTAAACGATGTTCAGGAACCATAATTGAAGGTGAAATATATCCTTATTATATTAAAAAAAAATTATATATAGGGCGAGTAAAGATGGATATTTTTTTAAATCATCTCCTCTCTCTTTATATCTATAAAAAAGTTTTTTTAATTTATTAATTATGATTAATGTATACTTTGAAGTTCCAGCAATAATTTTTGGCGTGATGTTCCTTTAGCACCATCCCATTCAGAATGAAATCTTAAATCTTCAGCATTTGAATACATAATGTAACTATATTTCAAAATTGAATAAATGTGTTTCTTGAAACTTTTTTTTTTCAGAAAAGAATAAAATAGTAGATTAATATCAGCTACACACACCTAGATAAAACATGAACTCGATCCAAATTAAAATCAAGCGGTGTAAGTTCAGTTCTTAATACAAATAGGGCCATTTTTAATTGACTAGATTCTAATAATTCCAAAAATTTTTGTTCTCGAATCAAAAATTTTACAATCTAAAAGAAACATTTTAATCAAAATAATTCTTTGTTATTATTATGAAAAATTCTATAAACAAAAATTGATAATTATGATAATAATTTTTGTTATTAATTAACAAATCATAATCGTTATATATTATTAATTATTTAATTACCACGGCATCTTTACTATTATCCAATTCCAAAGTTGGAAGAAGACTTTCTACCAATGTCCAGTCGCCCTTTAAAACACCATCTTTAAATCTTGCAACATCTTTACTTTCGAGAGGGAAGCCAGACTCATTTTCTAAGGTTGTAGCGGCTTGACTAAAGCAACGTTTGAAGTTTTAATAAAATTAGAAGGATTTCAATAATTCATAGTAGTTTATAAAAAATTCAAAAGAAAGTCAACATACTTGTAACCCATGCCTTGCATTGCTTGCACCATTAACCTGACGATCTCACGTCTTCGAATCCCTTGCAAACCATTATTAGTTGAAAATTGACCATTAGTTGAAGATTGTAGATTGCCATTGGTAGTAGTTGAAGATCTTCCATTTGTTGTATTTTCTTCTCCTACTCCATTTCCAATTTGTCCAATTCTCATATTCGTTTCACGTTCAAGTATGTCTATACGAAGGCGTTTTGGAGAACGTATATCAGAGTCAGAATCGCTTGCTGGTAAATAATCGTTGTCAGAATCTTCTCTTGGATGATAACTAGGGGGAAAGTCCATTGATCCGGGCCTAAAGACCTGTTCTTAAGGACCGGACCAGTTCAAATTTTTAGGTGCTGTTCTAACACATCCAAACCAATCAAATTCATAATATTGTGTGCACTATTTTGCTGTCATATGATGTGGCTTATCTAAAGACACGCCACAACCCGAAACACCATTTATTTATTAGATTGCAAACCTTTTTTCTCTCAATTTAAAAATTCCCATAATAATATCATGATGAAAGATGATGAACCTGACGGGGCGTGGCAAATCTTATGATGACAACTAATTTACATTTTTGGAATGAATTTGTTTATAATTAAAAATTATCTCGAAAGATCTCGAAAAAATAAAATAATGGAATGATTATATAAAATCGTGATTTCCAGTAATTTCTAGGTTTCAAGAAAAATACATATTTAAACACTGAATTCTTTTTCAAAAAAAAAAATCAATTGTTTTTTATTATAACAACTAGACAAAAATAATAATTATATATTATAAAAAAATGTCAATTATTAATCGTATCGCACATGATCTTAATCGAGCATTCGCAATGTTTGATGAACCATTCTTTACAGCAGCTCGTAGATTTCCCACACTTCCTTCATCTTTAATTAACAATACGAGTTTTTTTCGTCCTTCTGTTGATTTAGCCGAAACTGATAAAAGTTATGTGGTAGAGGCAGAAGTACCTGGTGTAAAAAAGGAAGATTTATCGGTCGAATTTTTGGATGATCGTACATTGATCCTAAAAGGGAAAGTTGAAAGAGGTAGCGGTGCTGGTGATAGAGAAGGATTAAGAACTGTCGATACTACTAAAAGTGAAGAGGGTGCTGGTGGTGGTGGTGGTGAATCAAGTACCACCGATATTGTTGAATCAACAAATGGAACTTCAAGTGGACAACTGTTAAATGAAAGAGCCGTTGGATCTTTTCAAAGATATTTTCAATTTCCTGGTAGAGTTGATCCTGAAAAAATAAAAGCAAGTTATAAAGATGGCATTTTATCAGTCACTGTACCTAAAGTCGCACATGAAAGTAAAAAGATTAACATCGAATAAATAAATTCTTTATTATATTATATTATTATTATTAAATTATTATTTTATTTCGATCTTGCATATTATTCATAAAAATATTTTTTAATAAATAAAAAAATAATATCCACATATATGCGTGTGTGTGTGGTTTTTCGTTAGTTAATTTCAAAACTTATAATTTTGAATTAATATCTGTTTGAACATTTGGAAGACCTTTGTTGTATAATTCTTCAATAATTTTACGAAAATATAATTTGGCTTCATGACGTCTAAGTTTTAATCTGTACAGAGTGACAATAATTTGGCTTTAGTAGTAATCATATTTTGATTATTATTAATAATTGAAAAATCACACTTACGTTGGTGTTAAAAGGTTATTTTCAACTGAAAATGGAACACGTTCAAGATGAATTGCTTTAACATTTTCAAATCTAAACAAAAAAAAATTTTATAATTATAAATATTTTTTATAACGACACTTCCCAAAAAGCATATTTACTAACCCTCGAAGACGAAAATGTGTTCCAAGTTTATGCATTTCTTTTAAAAACGCTTTATTTACGCTTGGATAATTTATAAGACGTTCTAATCCTTCATCATCGCCCACTGAAATATTTTCGCCAGTTAATTGATTTGCCCATGGTATAAAAGTCTCAGGATCTGGGACTATTATTGCAACTAAATAATCACGCAACGAATCTCCATGAACATATATTTGTAAAATCATATTGCAATTAAGGTAAACATTTTCAATCTATTTTATATGTAAACATTTTGTAAATAAAAATTATTTTTATAAATATAAATAAACAAATAAATTCAAATGCTAAAACCTTTTCGGGTGCAACATATTCTCCTTGAGAAAGTTTAAATAAATTTTTCTTTCTATCAATAATGGAAACAGCACCTCTTTCATCTATCGAAGCTATATCACCTGTATAAACCCACCCTTCTTGATCAATAGTTTCCTTGGTTTTGGCTTCATCTTTATAATAACCGACAAATGAACTTGTGCCACGGGAACAAAGTTCTCCGCGTGGATAAGGTTTATCAGTCGATAAATAATCCATCTCTGGAACATCTACAAGTTTTATCTCTACACTATATATAATCAGGAAAAATGCGCATGCAGATGTGTGTTTTATAACTAAATAAATATGCGAAAAAAAAAATTTATTAATCAATTGGTTATCTTACCAACTTACAGGTCCACCAACATGCCCTGCTTTGTTTTCTCCTTTGGTAGTCAAAGTAGCCATTGCAATTCCTTCAGTCTGACCGTAACCTATTAAATAAATTAGTTGATATAAATAAATTAATTCTTTATTTTAATGAAAAAATACATCATTCGATGTGATATTTTTCAAACCTTCGCCAATATCACAAGCAAAAGCAATCCTTAAAAACTGTAGAACTTCTGGAGATATAGGAGCTGAGCCTGTCAGAATTAATCTTACGCGACCACCTATTATTGCTTTGATTTTATTAAACAGAATTGTGTCCCAGAATGGATGAGTAACGCTTCCAAAATTTTCAAGATTATAGAGTTTTGCAGCAACAGCTTTTTTTGATAAGGTTCCTTTGATTCCGGTTGCATCCACCGTATTCATTCGAAGTTTGGCATAAATACGTGTAAGTAATCTGGGTACTGATACAAATATTGTTGGTTTGAGTAAAGCCATATCTTCGACAAGTGTGAACACATCTCCTCTAAAGTATCCAATACTTCCACAAAATAAAACAATCATTATTTCTATAAGTCTTCCCATAATATGTGCAAGCTATATATATATATATTTTAAAAAGTTAGTAATACTATTTTTTTAATTAAAAAAATAATATATACACTTTACCGGTAAATAGGAAATGAGCACCTAGAGTTTTATTTGAGAAAGCGTTAAAACATTAAAACATTTAATTATATATTCGATTTGCTTTATTTGTTTTTTTTTAAAAAATCACATACATCATCAGAGGTTCCTGACCAACAATATTGACATGAAGAAATTGCACCAATAAAACCTGCATGAGTGAGTAAAACGCCCTTGGGTAGACCAGTAGTACCAGAAGTATAACAAATACAAGCAATATCTTGAGGTGAAGGAGGGGTATGATCTCTCCTATGTTTTCTTCCAATCTTTTCAACTTCTTTAAAATCAACCAGTAATATACCCTGGTCTGCTGCCCATGCTTTCAATATTTTTCCTGTTGTCGTGCCACCAATAGGAACTGGTGCATCTTCTTCCAAATCATCCATCGAAACAATAACTTTCAATACGGGAATTTTTGATGCTAATTGAATCAAACTAGGAATTAGATTTGCTGTTGCAACAATAATAGGAATCTCGGCATGATTTATCACATATTCGACAGAATCTTTATTATGATCATTAATTAAAAAAAAATTGGTTAATAAAAATGAATAATAATTAAGAATTGGTTACTTTATTATATATAATTAATTCAATATACCCGGTCCAAGCGTATCATACAACGCAACAGTGATAAGATTATAAGAAACAACGGCCTAGTAGTATATATATTATTGATTTAATAGCAGTATAATATTTATAGTTATAACCGTTAATTATATTAATTAATTACCTGGTCGGTAATGAACCATTCTTGATGAAATAGCATAAAAAAATTTATTATGTAAATTAATATATATATTTATTAAAAGTTAATTTATTTCAGAAATATATTTATTAAAAATTAATTTATTTCAGAAATCTATTTATTGTAGATATTATAATTACCGGGTCTGTTTACAGAATAAATACCGACAGCCCATTGTTGATTTTTATTATTCTTTACGACCTAATAAAGTTTATTTCTTAATAAAATACGATTCATAATTCATTAGAATAATTATATAATATTATTTTTTTTTTATTTACTGTTTCGCTTAAATGTAAAAGTCCAGATCCAAAATTTGAACGACGTTCACCAACTTGCTTATAAGTTTGCCATTCATATAATCCATACTTTCTATTTAATTTATTATATGGTCTATGTGCAATACAATTGTTATCACCACAAGTTTTAAGTGCTAAATATAAAATAAATAAATTATCAAAGTTTTTTTTTAAAAAAAAAAAGGAAATTTATTAAAATTAAGAAAAAAATTTATTTTACTTTACCGTACTCAAAGTTTTCATATAAAGTTCTTACTCCTGTACTATATAAGCGAATGAAAAATGGGAATGAAAAAAAATGAAAATTTTGAATTAATAAAAAATCCCATTTTTTTACCATACCTAGGAACATCCGTGATTTTTTCTTGAGAATTAATATTACGATAAATGCCGGTTTGTCCTGGTTTTTTTGTGTTTGGTAGTTCAATAGCATATTTTATGGGTAATGCCATTTTAAAAAATATTTTTCAAGTAGAAATTTTAATTTTTAAAAAAAAATTTGTAATACAAGTAAAATTGATAATCTTATTATTTATCTCACGTTGTTTACTTTAGGAATGGAAAATCAGCCCTGCTTGAATTATTATATTTGAACTCCGTCCGATACAGAATTCATAATCTTAAGTATTAATTATTAATTCGTACGAAATTAATTAGTTTATTACGTATGAGTGTATGAGTTAAAAAATTTTATTTTTTCATATATGCATATGAATACATGTATTTTCACTTGAATGTAAATGATTATATACACGTGACTCCAGAAACAGATTCTATATATGAATGTTTCCAAGGACACGTTGTCAAAAGTTGCGGCTGGTATCCTTAAACGTTTCTCAGAAGTATTTGAATAATAATAAAGTGATAAAGAAATTTCGATAATACAATTTTTTGTTTGTTAATGTTAATAGAGACATTTGCATTACTTATTGCTGGTGTTATTTTTTTTAATAACAAAGTTTTTTTTTATGAATACCACCAATTCCATGATGATGATTTGAATCTCATCCTATCTTTACAATATTATTATTCGTTGCTAATTGACAAATTTCTTGAATTATCGGCTAAAATGGCATTCTTGAATAAAATTGAGTTATTATTATTATTATAGTAATAGGTTGGTTGCCTTCGGATTTATATGTGCAGTCTTTTTCATTAAGATGTCTCTTAATTAATTACATCTTATTGTTTTCAACCATTTTCAAAAATGAAAGAAATCTTTAATTTTTCTGCTGTAAATTTGAATCTTTTCCTCATCAGGAAAATAAATCTTATGTTGAAATTTTTGATAATTCTGTCAGCACTTCCGCATAATGCTGGTCAATTCTGAACCCTACGTAGATTTATACAAGATTTATTTTCCTGATGTTGGCCTACAAATTCTTGATATCAGTATGAATCAATTTATGCCGAATAGAAAATATTCAACAGGTAGAATATCTTTAAGAGAGATAAAGATTAGGACAGTCCTGGAACAAATGCGAATATTAGATTCCCCGAAACTTGTTGCAATGTTTATTGTATGGATGGATTGATTACATGTTTCTACTAGTTTTGATACATTTCAAAGAAGAAACAATCCATCCATTCTAAGTTGGTCATTAAAAGGAGACATAACATTCTGGAAGAAAGCATGCCAACTGAAGATGATCAATTTTACTGAAGAGTACATAATTTGCCAACTGGTATGAGTGGTGATAATGGTGATGCAAGAAATTTGCTATTGTGGGATTGTGTCTGAGTCACAAATAAATTTCCCAACAATGTATGATGATACTTGATAAAATTTACTATAACTGTCAATTTACAGTTACAGTTTATTTCCTTGTTATTCTACATTTGGGAATTTGTCTTCTGAGTTAACTTTGCCATGATTGGGAATTTGCCTTCCAAGCTTCCTCACTATATATAAAGAAAAGGAAAATAAAAAGATAAGAAATTATTCACACAGAATTAATATGAAGACTAATCCTTTATTTCAGCACTGTCTTGTGAATACATGTATATTTATGGCCAAATCTTGATAAATCAAAGTGATTGGGACTATTAGTAGAAAACTTGACAAATTCAGTTTATCAAGGTTTATTTAGTATTAGTAAATTCAGTTTATTGGAGAATCATCTTATTAAGATTTTAATTATTGCTTCAGCTTAATGGGGTTTGGTTGACTTTGTACATGAAGAGAAAAATCAAAAGTGAAGGAAATTCTAAGCTATTTAAATGTTTCAAAAGGAACATCCGTGATTTTTTCTTGAGAATTAATATTACGATAAATGCCGGTTTGTCCTGGTTTTTTTGTGTTTGGTAGTTCAATAGCATATTTTATGGGTAATGCCATTTTAAAAAATATTTTTCAAGTAGAAATTTTAATTTTTAAAAAAAAATTTGTAATACAAGTAAAATTGATAATCTTATTATTTATCTCACGTTGTTTACTTTAGGAATGGAAAATCAGCCCTGCTTGAATTATTATATTTGAACTCCGTCCGATACAGAATTCATAATCTTAAGTATTAATTATTAATTCGTACGAAATTAATTAGTTTATTACGTATGAGTGTATGAGTTAAAAAATTTTATTTTTTCATATATGCATATGAATACATGTATTTTCACTTGAATGTAAATGATTATATACACGTGACTCCAGAAACAGATTCTATATATGAATGTTTCCAAGGACACGTTGTCAAAAGTTGCGGCTGGTATCCTTAAACGTTTCTCAGAAGTATTTGAATAATAATAAAGTGATAAAGAAATTTCGATAATACAATTTTTTGTTTGTTAATGTTAATAGAGACATTTGCATTACTTATTGCTGGTGTTATTTTTTTTAATAACAAAGTTTTTTTTTATGAATACCACCAATTCCATGATGATGATTTGAATCTCATCCTATCTTTACAATATTATTATTCGTTGCTAATTGACAAATTTCTTGAATTATCGGCTAAAATGGCATTCTTGAATAAAATTGAGTTATTATTATTATTATAGTAATAGGTTGGTTGCCTTCGGATTTATATGTGCAGTCTTTTTCATTAAGATGTCTCTTAATTAATTACATCTTATTGTTTTCAACCATTTTCAAAAATGAAAGAAATCTTTAATTTTTCTGCTGTAAATTTGAATCTTTTCCTCATCAGGAAAATAAATCTTATGTTGAAATTTTTGATAATTCTGTCAGCACTTCCGCATAATGCTGGTCAATTCTGAACCCTACGTAGATTTATACAAGATTTATTTTCCTGATGTTGGCCTACAAATTCTTGATATCAGTATGAATCAATTTATGCCGAATAGAAAATATTCAACAGGTAGAATATCTTTAAGAGAGATAAAGATTAGGACAGTCCTGGAACAAATGCGAATATTAGATTCCCCGAAACTTGTTGCAATGTTTATTGTATGGATGGATTGATTACATGTTTCTACTAGTTTTGATACATTTCAAAGAAGAAACAATCCATCCATTCTAAGTTGGTCATTAAAAGGAGACATAACATTCTGGAAGAAAGCATGCCAACTGAAGATGATCAATTTTACTGAAGAGTACATAATTTGCCAACTGGTATGAGTGGTGATAATGGTGATGCAAGAAATTTGCTATTGTGGGATTGTGTCTGAGTCACAAATAAATTTCCCAACAATGTATGATGATACTTGATAAAATTTACTATAACTGTCAATTTACAGTTACAGTTTATTTCCTTGTTATTCTACATTTGGGAATTTGTCTTCTGAGTTAACTTTGCCATGATTGGGAATTTGCCTTCCAAGCTTCCTCACTATATATAAAGAAAAGGAAAATAAAAAGATAAGAAATTATTCACACAGAATTAATATGAAGACTAATCCTTTATTTCAGCACTGTCTTGTGAATACATGTATATTTATGGCCAAATCTTGATAAATCAAAGTGATTGGGACTATTAGTAGAAAACTTGACAAATTCAGTTTATCAAGGTTTATTTAGTATTAGTAAATTCAGTTTATTGGAGAATCATCTTATTAAGATTTTAATTATTGCTTCAGCTTAATGGGGTTTGGTTGACTTTGTACATGAAGAGAAAAATCAAAAGTGAAGGAAATTCTAAGCTATTTAAATGTTTCAAAGCTATTCAAAGATTGCTCATCAAGTTCTCTGAGTCACAATGAGGAATTCCTTTGTAACATTCTTTAAAGCATTCTTTAGAAGGTCATCTGAGAATTATCATCTTTATAACTAATTAAAGGAATTTTTAATTTGTTCACATTAATGATTTCTCTCTGATTGTCAGGTTGGAATTGATTTTAAATTTAAAAAAAATAATGTTAAATTCTAAACCAGCAAACTATACCACATCATATTATTTTCCACATGCTTCTACTATTATACTTAGGGATGGGAAATTGCATGAAATTTCAAAATTTCATCCAGTGCTTTTTTTTTTTACTCAACATTATATTCGGCATTACTACTTTTAGCATTTTTAATGCATTATTTATTCATTATTATGAAAATTAAATGTGTCTGAAATTGAGTGCGGGGTTTGTGTTACATATTGAATTTAGCCAATCAATTTTGTCCTTCTGGTAGAAAATTTAACGTTGATTGGCTAAATTCAATATGTAACACAAACTCCGCACTCAATTTCAGACACTGTTATATTTGAGGTTTTCAATTTATTATTAAAATATATATATACTAATTTAAAAACACAATCATTTGTCAATTTATTTCGTTTTTTATCATGTATATAAGAAATATAGACCAATTCCTTTCTGCTGCTGCTGCTGCTGATGATGAGGTAGGAATAGAAAGAACTCTTACCACAACTTTTGTCAATTCAGGTGCCACAGCTCCAAAATTACCTTTCCACCAGGTTAATAAATCCACATTATTGGTAGATACCCCCATGAGTTGCCAAATACAACACTATAAGCTTTATATTGTAAAATTTAATTTCTGCATTTTCTGTATGTGACATTGCATGATTTGAAAAAAAATCATGCGCATGGAACATCTCTAATTATACTCTTTCTTCACTTTACTTGGTTACAATTCTATTAATAATATTGGTTTTTTGGTGCAACATAAATATTTCAATCTCTGATGATTGTTTATTAGACTATCTCAATCTATGCCTTAGAATGATTTTTTAACCTTCAAAAGCAAAGTAAAATGTTTGTTCACTCATCCCCAGGAAAACTCTATTACTATTGCCAACACTATGTTTCAAAAAAAAATTTCACCATAGAATACCATTACCAAAATTACTGTTGAAGTAGCTAATCTTCCATCTCGTGTATATATAATGAAATATAATCAATAAACATTCGTTTATGCACATAATTGGGATTTTAAATGTTGATCAATTGAATTGTGAAATATACAGTGAACCCTTGTTTCAATGAATTTTTGATACAACGAATTTTTAAAAACGTTGTTACACATTATGAAAACATAAAA